AGTATGCATGTTTCTGCCACTGTTTGTATTTCTGGAATGGAAAGCCATCCCATCCAGCAAGCACATGGGATGGCTGTAATGAAAACTGATAAACACAAGTAGTGCCTGAGATCAGCAGTCGTAGCAGAAGTGTTATCATGTCAGGGATACGTTATCCACTTAGAATACTAAGGGGCCCAGGTTAAACCAGCAGTCGAAAGCACAGATGCCACCCTAGTGGGTTTGGCTCAGTGGATAGAGCATCGGTCTGCGAACTGGAAGGTCCTGGGTTCGATTCCGGTCAAAGGCATGTACCTGGGTTGTGGGCACATCCCCAGTGGGGGGTGTGCAGGAGGCAGCTGATCGATGTTTCTCTCATCGATGTTTCTGACTCGCTATCTCTCTCCCTTCCTCTCTGTAAAAAATCAATAAAATATTTTAAAAAGTGTTTGAACTTGGAAATTCAGCATTCGCTCAATTCTTCTTATATACTGGATACTAGAGATATTCATGGTGATTTGTCTACCTCCTCCAACTTTTTTTTCTGGTAAGTAAATATTCCCAGTATTCTCAGGACTTTATGAGAAATATCAGTAAGAAAAAATACATACTACCTTTCATTTAGCTCCCTTACTTAGTTATCAAGAAGCTACTTTGCTTAACCAAACCATTACATAAGGGCAATATAGGTTGCTAAAATCTACCCAAAATAAATAAGAAAAACAATTAAGATTTCAAATTCTAATATCGTGTTAGAAATAAGATTTTAAGACAGTTTAGCAGCAAAAATATTTTGACAAAAATAACTGCCTTTTTAAAAAATACATGCAACAGATTTGTTTATCTTATCAAATTATTTCAGGTCTAGAAAGCCCCACAAATTACATACAGAGTAAAAAATGTTTTAATATAGAAAACAAAACAAACACTTACCATATGTACATGACCACAGATCATCAAACCAACATTTTTTGTGAAATCATGGACAAGATGAAGTAGAGCTGGGCGTGAGTTTGGAGCACCTGTCATAACAAGACACTGTGGCCTAATTTACGATTGAAAATAAAAACAAAATTAGAGTTTAGGTTTTTGGTAACAAAGACATGACTTTAAGTTGTTTCTCTAAGAATATATTATTACACTAGAATCTCATTCATGTAGGTGTCTTTAAGACACATGCCACAGTTTTCTCATAAAAGATGACTTTTAGTTAGGGTTTCTTGATATATGAGAAATGCAGAAACAGAACCTTCTTAGAACAAACATCATGCCAAATGTTCTTCGAAAGTAATAGGTAATATGATACATCAAGATTCTGGTAGGAATTACAGAAGGAAATGACCATACTGATTAAAAATTATGTAACAACTTTGCATCTTGTAAAGGTAATAAATATCCCAGTTCTTTCATGGAATTCACAGAACTTCTTCAGAGCATGGCCTTGCCTTCATGTACAAAAAAACAGGTCACTGTCCTTCTTAGCTTGATGACAGGATAATTACTTTGGCTTTGTAATATTAGCCCTCTCTATTCTAGCTTAATTTTTATGGCTGCTCCCATATAAGTAAATGCACCTATGGTGAAACAAAGGCTTCTATGGCTTCTATTTGGACTAAACATTTTGAATCTAATTAATTATGGTGAGAGCCAAAATTCAATTAAAATGACAGTGGCATGACTTTCATATTTATTTTCCCTGACTACAAATAGAAATCAGTTTTTTGATGAAAAAATATTTAGGTATCCTTTTTATAAGTTCAAACAGATAAGCAAAAATTCTTTAAAACAAGAATTTGTACAATTAAAACAAAATAACAAAAAGCAAATAGACTAAAAATTCTGCTTTAATCACTAATTATTAGGGTAGTTACTGACTGTACTCATAAAATAAGCATGAAAGCCTGAATAAAAATGGAAAATATGCTAACATTCATAATTTTAGCAAGCTATCTAAAAAACCAATTCTGTCTCCCTAACTGCTTTGGAGCAATCAAACGTGAAGTCATCCTCTATGGCCCAGCCTGCTAATATAGTCCACTGTCCCCATCTGAGCTTTAGCAGGTTAGGTGGGCTCCCAGGTACAGATTACATTTCTTAGCCTTCCTAGCAGCTAAAACTAGCCTCATGACTGACTTACAGCCCACATGATATTCCGGTTTCCAGGATGTGTCCTTTAATAAGGAAGCTGGCCACTGTTGCTCCTCGGTGGTTAGAGTGTTGGCCCAAGCACCACAGGATCACAGATATGATTTCCGCTCAAGCGCACATATCTGGGTTTCAGGTTCAATCTCTGGCTCTGGCTGGGGCATGTGTGGGAGGCAACCAATCAATGTATCTCTTTCACAGTGATATCTCTCTCTCTTCCTCTCTCTCTCTCTCTGTCTCTCTCCTTCCTCCCCCGCTTCCACTCTCTCTTGAAAATAAAATTTAAAAATCAATGGAAAAATATAAAAACAGAAGTTTTCAGATGATATTTTGTAGACAATTTACCTCTTTGTAAAATTTGATAATTAAGAACCTCAACCTTGTTCTTGAATTAACTGCCCAAGTCCAACAACAACAAATATTCTGTGTATACTTTGAGAACTTCTTATGAAGTATCAGTATATAAAAATGTCAATGAACAATAAGTGAATAACAGATTGCCACCTAAGACAAATGTTTCTATATTACCTCATCACTTACCTAAAGTTTTTCACATGGTCTTCCACTCCAGAAAGTCGAATGGAATGCTGCAGTGCACTAAGGTAAGTCAGGGCTTGTGTGGAGGATCCCCAGTTCACATCTGTGGGAAGATAGTGTTCATGCAGCAGAACACCAATATTAACAGCTGATCAGTAACCAATGAGACACACAGAGAAGTAAACAGTGCTTTCCCATTTAAAAAGTCAGTTGCTAAAACAAACTATTATAGTTGGAACTTTTAATAACTCAAGTTCACAGCATGACATTAAGAAAATGCTAATGTGAACTATAATTGCATTTAAAGAGAAAGTACAATTTAGAAAAGACGGAGATGACAGGGCTGCAGACATGCTATGCGTGCAATTCAAGAGTCTTTTATAAATAAGGGGAACATTTTAAAATTATTGTTTATATTGCCAAAGGTTAAAAGGAAAAGAGGCAGCTCTCCAAATGTTATGTATAGTACTTAACAATTTTAAGTTATTTTAATAGGCAAATTTTTTTCTTATTGATAAACAGCCTAAACACAAATGATTTTAGGCATTTGTTACTTTTAGAGACTTAATAGGCATATTAGAGAAATTATTGCTTCTAAGATGGTTAAAATAGTATCCTTTGTCCATTTCATTTCTAAAGCCACCACTGTAATCCAAAACCTCTACAAATCCTGTAGTATTATAATTACGAAATGTTTCCTCACAACTACACTGCAACTACTCTTGTAATCTCTTCCTAATCTATTCTGTTAAGCCAAACCCTTTTAAACCTATATCACTGGATCTTCTGTGTTACAGGTCACCAAAGTGAATAGTGGACCAATACTAATATATCTTAGCATCCTGTTATGTGAAGATATACCAACAGTTATTAATCAAACACATTCAAAGTAATCTGTGACCATTTTCCAGTTAAAACATGTTTGTCCAATTTTCCCCACCACACGTAAACTAGTGGGAAGATAATAGGTCTTCTGGTATTTTGTGAATTCCATGGTATTATAGTAGGTACAGTAGGTAGATCGATCATACATACATATGCTTATTAAGCTATCAAGCTTATATAATACTGCAAATCAAGGCCTTTCAAATAATAATTTTAAAATTTGTTGAGTGCAACAGAATGTTAAATATATGAATTTGTTATTTTTCTACAAATAAAATTTAATTTATGGAAAAGAATGGAATTCCATAGAATAAAATGTCACAATTCTTTCATTAAAACTACATGTATTTGAAATAAAATATTTGAAGTTTTATACAGCCCTGGCCAATTTGGCTATACAAAGTACCATTTAATTATATATCAGATGATGCTTAGATATGAAAAATAACAAAGAACTTCTAGATGTTTGTAGCTTGAAATACTAAATAGAAAAGGTTACTGACCTGGCTTTTTATAGGTAACATAAATATATAGCCCAAGGACTATCACATATGTCAGCAATGCAGCCCACCAATTAATGACAAACATTACTATGCAACAAAGAATTGCTCCAATAAGTGATATCCACATATTGTAGTATTTGAATGCAGGACGCCATCCTATCAATAACAAATAAAATAGATTAATACAAGTCACTCACATACATCATCTGTCTGCTTTAGACAATAGTTCATATGTATGCAAAAAATAATTTTCTTTATGGCTGCTCCAAGAGAGGGCTTTAAACAGTAAGTATAAAGCTAATACATAACAGTAAAGTCATAGACCATAGATCATGATTTAATTTCACAATTCTTGACAGCCATGAAAAGGGCACACCTATTTACTTCCACATTATTTTATCTTACTAGTTCTGTATCCAATAAACTCTTTACCAAAAAAAGTGTAAATCAACCTACCACAGTGAACACTTAAAACTAAAGATGGTTTTTTAAAAAGTTTAAATTGAGTCTTAAATAGTGTGGTGGTTTTCTTTCTTGATTTTTAGGGCTTCTCCACCTCCCCCTGTTCCTGAGGGGCAACTGGGGCCAGCAGCCACCTCTCACACCCGCTGCCAGCAACAGCCCTGCTTGTACCCACTGCCAGCGCCTGGTGCCAGTCCCGATCGCTCGGTGCCATCAGCATGTGCAAGCAGCAGCTGCTGGCCCTGACTGCCCCTGAGGGCTTCTCCACCTCTCCCAGCTCCTGAGGGGTGATCGGAGCAGCAGCTGCCATTCGCACCCACTGATGGCACCAGTCCTGCTTGTACCTGCTACTGGCGCCGGCCCTAATCGCTCTGCGCCTTCAGCGGGTGCAAACAGGACGGGCGCCGTCAGCGCATGGGAATGGTGGTGGTGGGAGCAGGGCTGCTGGCAGACAGGGGACCAGGGGCTACGGCAGAAGGGGCTGGCCGGGACCCGCCCCTGTGCCCACCACAGCCTTGCGGCCCACAGTTCCTTTCAAGGTGCACAAATTTATGCACTGGACCCCCAGTATCATAATATTCTTAGAACTGAAAGAGAAAGCAGATAAATAAACAAAAAAGCAAAGTAAGTCTTTCACAGTGCTGAGCAGATTTTTAAAACAAAATACAAAATATTATCAGTAAAGTTCACAATAAAGAGATCTTTGAAGACTCAATTTGACTCAATTATAAAGGCAGACTGAGCATTAATGAGCTAATCCCACACATACTATTTTTTAAAATGTGTTTTATTCCCTCTAGAATCAAAGACATTACATTTAAAAAACTTTTTAAAAGTGTAAAATCACCTGGAGATTTTGCAAGTGATGCATGGAATACTGAAAAATTGATCAGAGCATAGGATGCAAGGAAGAAGTTAGAGATAATTGGAGCAATAACGTTCAGTTCAGCTGCAAAAGAAACAAGGCATATTTATTGACAGACTAGACATTTTTAACTTTTCAAAATTATGAATTATTTCAAAACTTTAGATAATGGCATAAAGCTATTCCTATATTGGCCATCCAGATTTAATAACTACATTTTGCCATGTATATTTCATGTACTTTTAAGAAATCAAATCTGAAACGTACAGTTGAAACCTCCTGTATACATCACTCTTCCAAAACTGGTATATTCTTTTTCCAATGCTATATAGTTTTACTACATACATAGTCAATCAGTATTATGTAGTAATGTTTGGGGTATTTTAAAAGTTACATGAAATTCGACTTTCCACTTTCTATATTTGAAGTTTATCCATATTGATATGTAAAAACCAAGTTCATTCTTTTTTACTGCTAAATATTATTTTGCAGTTTCATTCTTCCACTGATAGATATTCAGGTTGCTTCCATTTTTTACTATTATAATTAACACTAAAACATTCTTGTATATGGGCACAAATGCAAGTTTCTATAGGGTTCATTCCCCTAAAGAGAACTGCTGAATTTCGGAAAACTTTACTAAATGTTGCCAACTTGTTCTCAAAAAGCAGCTATACCAAATACATACCTACCAGTACATGAGAGTTAGTTTCCACACCTGGAAGTATAATCAGACTTTTAATAAAAGTCGAATGGACTGGTGATCAGAGGCAAAGAACAGATAAGTAGAGGCCCCACTTTTAGGGGAGATCCTGAAATCCTTTTCTTTATGCTATTATTGAATTTTTTTTTTAGGGACAACAACCTAAGAGTTCTTTCTACCCCTAATGGGGACTTAGTGATAGCACTCAATACATATTTTCTTAAATTTTTACTATTATTTGCAGTATTTTTTAAACGCTCTTTCATTTGATCAGAAACTAATTTAGTAAACTAGGCAAAGTAGCATTATTTATTATTTAATAATTCAATGTTTAGAGCTAACATTATAAATGCACCAAAACCTACATTAGCACACCATTTATTTGACTAACCAATTAAGATGAATCCAAGTGCAATTAAGAATGTTAAGATGTAACCACGAAGAGGTTCGTTATTTTTCCCATAACCTTTAGCAAACATCTGGAAAGCTGGGTAGATGTTGTCCTTACATAGAGCCTAATGAAAAAATGTAAACAATAAAATGAAACATTTTGATATACAGATTTGCTTATAGTGACAACTGGTTAGTCAGGAATGGAGTCCATGTTTCTAATTCTTTGTCCTCTTAATTTCCCCTATCTCATACTGCTTCACCTACATACTGTACAGGAGAGTCAAACATTTTAAGAATCAGAAAGAGTATAGAATACCAGAAGTTTTTATTCACCCATGCTGAAATTCTTTATGAAGAAGGAACCAGGAAAGAAGGCATACAAATAAAAGAAATTTAGAAGCTTGAGAAGTATGACAGAGATGGGAACTGCTTTACAACAAGTCCAAATACTAGACTTAAAGCAGATAAGAATCCTAATTACAGAACTTATTTTTCTTAATACTAGAAACTGGTTGAGGGTGTGTATGTGTGGTTAATCCTCACCCAAGGATATTTTCTCCATTAATTTTTAGAGAGAGTGGGAGAGAGGGAGAGAGACAAAGAGAGAGCAACATCTATGTGAGAGAGACACACTGATTGGTTGCCTCCCACGTGCACTCCGACTGGGGCTGGGGACTCAGCCTGCAACTGAGACATGCCCTTGACCAGCATCGAACCTCCAACCCCTCAGTCTTTGGGTCAACACTCTAACCACTGACCCAAACTGGCCAGGGCCTGAAAACTGTTTTAAGAAAGATATCTTAAATCTTCACTGTACTAACTAGCTACAACTACAACATTAAAAACAAAGCTGCAGAATCAACGTTTTGTTGATTTGATTTAGTAATAAAAAATACTTCCTATTCAGTATCAGCTATTCATTTAATGCTCATTAAAGGGAGATAATATCTATCTCATTCATCATCATACTCAATGAGTAGTACATATTAGGCATTCAGATATCTGTAAAATAAAACATTTAGGTTGGTGTCATGCTATTGGAAACAAGATGCCTTAATTCTTCTGATTTATGGTCTTGGACCACACTCCTTACCTTTGGTACAACATTATGAAAATTTATGCTAACAGAGAATATCCAAAAAAGCAAAAATTTATTACTACTTCCAGAAACACAATTCAAAGACTACACTCTAACAGTATGTAAATACACAAATGTTATATAAATATATATTCAAATATATATATATATATATATTTTCACATTCATATGCATAAAATTAAATATACCAGTCGTGTGTGTGTGTATGTGTGTTATAATTACATCTGGGATTGACAGAAGCAATTAATTTAAAAATATTAACAATTTCAGACAATATTGCCTAAACTCTCCTTTAATAAAGATTGTAATATGAAAGTACTTACCTGAAATATTTTGGGAGCACTCACAAGGGATGCTAATGCAGACGAAAGAGTGGCTGAAAAGATACCTGCAGAAATCAATGGAGCAAATCCTGACACCATGCTCATTACCTTAAAAAAAGTGATAAAATAGAAAAATAAGTCTTAAAAACAAGAACATAATACTATACATCATTATTCTAATGAAGGAGACTAATATTGGGAAAAATTTGATAATAATAAACAGTAATAAATTGTTATGGGAATTACAAATTCAGAAATAGATCGACCACTAGCACTTACCTTAAAAAACTTTTTATTTTATAAAATATATGACACACAATGACAGAAGAGTATATTGAATCACCAAGGATCCATCACCTAGTTTCAACAATGACCTACTCAGGGCCAATCTGCACATTATGGTGAATCAAACTACAGATATCATCTATATATATAAATGCCTAAGCAACTGGCCAACCATTAGACCGGCTGACCAGTAGCTATGATGCGCACTGACCATCGGGGCAGATACTCAACGTAGGAGCTGCCAAACTGAGGTGACTTGGCAGCTGAGGTTCCTGGGTGATGCACCTGGAGCCAGAGGAAGGAGCCCAATTCCGGTGTGCACCACCCAAGAAACCACCCTCTCACAATCTGGAACCCCTCAGGGGATGTCGGAGAGCTGGTTTTGGCCCAATCCCCACAGGCCAGGCCAAGGGACCCCACAGGTGCATGAGTCCTCTGCCCATTGCAGAGGTCGTGGGTCTGGGCCTTACAGAAACTTTCAGATTCAATAGGTTAAATGATGAGAAATGCAGGACCTACTGGCTATGGCCCCGACATCTGGCACCCATCCTGGCCCATCCACTTAATATCAATTTCCAGTGGAGACAGCATATTTTCCCGCTACCAGTCTCAGTTGGGAAACTGGCTGTGGCTTCCCTCCTTCTGGATGGACAATACCACCAGTGGGCAACCTCCGGGAAGGGAAGGAGGCGAAAGAGCAGCTCAGGTGGGAAGGAGGAGGTTCCTGCCACTACAGGACTCCACCTGGGTGGAAGGGCCTGCATGGGAGCCTGACACTGAGCAGGATCCTGCCCTAGGCCAACTATATTCCAGGCTAAGTAAATCCTGTTTGCTAAATAATTACATTTTGCAGTTAAATGCCCAGTTACTGCCAAACTTAGGGTAAAGTGAGATGAAAGAAGTGAGACAGATACAGAGAGAAAGTGACACAATATTGGGAGAAGAGCGGATGGAGCCCGATTCCAGGGTGCATCACCAAGAACCGCCCTCTCGCAGTCCAGGACCCCTCAGGGGATGTCAGAGAGCCAGTTTTGACCTGATCCCCACAGGCCAGGCCAAGGGACCCCACCAGTGCACGAATCCGTGCACCGGGCCTCTAATATGCATATAAGATCTTTGGTTAATCTCTTCCCGGCCTTCCCCCTCTCCCCTTCCCACTGAGATTCATCAGTCTGTTTCATGTTTCCATGCCTGTGTGTTGAGCATCTGCCCCTGGTGGTCAGTGCGCATCACAGCTTCCAGTAGAATGGCTGGACAGTCGCTTAGGCTTTTATATATATATATAGATGGGTAAGAACTTTTAAAACCTGTAACTGCAAAGCCCTGTCACTGCTTAAAAACTAAATTAATTTCTTTACAGCATCAACCAGCCACACAGCATTCAAATTTCCCAAATTGTCCCTCATTTCTTGCTTTTCAAACTGGTTTATGCAAATCAGGATTGGCAAAAAGATTATACTTTACATTCAGTGTGTCTCTTAAAAGTCTCTTTAAATCTGCAGGTTCATCTTTTCCTTTACATTTTATTATTTTTACGTCGTTTCTCCTATAAACCTCCCCCCCACTCTGGATTTTGCTGACTGCTTTTCCACTTTGTTGTTTAACCTGTTTCTTCTCACCTCTGAATTTTAGCCAACTGCTCAGTAGATATGGAGTTAATCAGATTGAAGTATAAATTTTCTAGCAAGAATATTTCAAGGTGATGTGATATACTTCCATCAGGAAGGTTATTTTTTGGATGTTAAGATAATAAATTGGTATTACGTTTTTTGAGTGTTTGTTTTGCTTTCCCTATCTTTGTACATGTTCAAACATTTCCCAATAATGAAGTATTTTTTAAAAAAATGGATAGATCATTTAGATCATAAGACAATCAGATAAATCCAAACTGAGGGGTATAATGCGTAACACCTGCCCTAACTCTTCAAAGTGTCAGCATACTGAAAGATTAAAATAGCCAAATTGGGGACTCCTCTAGGTTAAAGGATTTTAAAATAACATGGTAACTAACTGCCATTCATGATCCCAATTTGGATCCTAAATGTGGGAAAAATAGCTATAAGCGACATCTGTGGGAAAAGCAGGGAAATATGAATATGGTATATTTAGATACCAGTATTTCATCAACATTAAATTGCCTGAATAGGATAATTGTACTGTGCTTGTACAGAATGTTTTAAATACTTCAAAGTGACTGTCATGTTGCAATGTCTACAATTTATTCTTATATGTTTGAGAGGAGAAAGAATAGACATACATAGAAAGGAATGGGGCAAAATATAAACAACTAGTAAATATAAGTGAAGGGTAGGTACACAGATATTCCTTGCACTGTTCTGCATTTTTTAAATTTGTCAAAATACCAAATTGAGCCCTGGCAGGTGTGGCTGAATTGGTTAGAGTGTCATCTCAGGTTTGACTCCCAGTGTGAGGGCACATACTTAGGATACAGATTCAGTCCCGGTAGGGGCACATAGTTGGAGGCAATCTCTCTCTCTTTCATTTCTATTAATTAGAAAATCAGACTTATGTATACAAAACTCCTCTTTATTTGAATGAGTCCGTACTAGACTTGATAAAGACAACGTACTTTTCTATTTTAAGGCAGCAACGCAGAAATCTGATTGGCATTTCAGTCACTGGGCAGAGACCAACATTTGTGCTTTTCATACACAATATCAATGTCAGAATTGGCCTGAATCATTAGTTGGACATGAATACTTTCTTTCATTCCTATGATTTTGCCTAGTCTTGTGACTAGCAAAAACAAACTTCTGTTACATAATTGGGTTCAATATTTAGAACCACAGAAAGTGTAGTCAATTGCTTGAAATGATACAATAGAAAATAAAAATAATGCCATTAAAAATTTAAGTCCAAGATTTTTTATATAAAATTTATATATTCTACAAAAATTTATAATTTTCTGAAATATATTAAATCCTCGACTATTCTGCTTGATGTGTTTACATAATACTGGGAAAACATTAGGAAGCAAAATTTTTACTTTGAATTAGTAGGACCATCTATTATAAAAATTTATATCTATTATAAAAATAGATGTTTTAGTCTCCTGAATCTATTACATCTTTTGTGTTATTTTCCTTCTAGCATTCTATGACTTAACAAGCAGCTCTCAAAATTATCTTAGTAATTCCGTCTCCCTTTATTTTTTTTTGTTTTTTATTATTTTGTTTAATTCTCACCCGAGAATATTATTCCATTGATTTTTAGAGAGAGGGAAAGACAGAGAGAAATACTGAGGTGAGAAAAAAACATCAATTGGTTGGCTCCTGCATGCAGCCCAAGTGGGGAGGAGCCTGCAACCAAGGTACATGCCCTAGACCAGCCATGGCAAACTACGGCCCGCGGGCTGGATCCTGCCCGTTTGAAATGAATAAAACTAAAAAAAAAAAAAAACAAAAAAAAAATCGTACCCTTTTATGTAATGATGTTTACTTTGAATTTATATTAGTTCACACAAACACTCCATCCATGCTTTTGTTCCGGCCCTCCGGTCCAGTTTAAGAACCCATTGTGGCCCTCGAGTCAAAAAGTTTGCCCACCCCTGCCCTAGACAGAACTGAACTCAGGACCCTTCAGTCTGCAGGCCAGTGTTGTATCCACTAAGGCAAACTGGTTAGGGCTCCTTCTCCCTTTATATAACCTACTAGTGGCCCACTGCACAAAATTCATGCATGGGGGAGGGGGGATTTCCCTCAGCCCAGCCTGCACCCTCTCTATTCGGGGACACTTTGGGGGATGTCCTAAACCAGCAGTCGGACATCTTTCTCACAATCTGGGACTGCTGGCTTCTAACTGCTCACCTGCCTCTGCCTGCCTGATTACCCCTAACTGCCCTCCACAGCCAGCCTTATCTCACCCCCAACTGCCCTCCCCTGCTGGCCTGATTGCCCCTAACTGCCTCTGCCTTGGCCCCCATCATAATGGTTTTGTCCAGAAGGAAGTCAGATGTCCTGAAGATGGTCATTTGATCTGATATAATTAGCATATTACCCTTTTATTATTATAGATTATTAGTATAGATAGATTATATAGGATAGGATTGCTTAAATGGGTGGGGGGAGCCTTTTTCAGGAGGAGGAGATGCTCTTGGCAAACAAAAGCACGTAATCCCTATATCTGGACTGATAGCCAGCTATATGCACTATACTGCCTTAAAAATCATGAAAAAAAAATGAAACCGCTTTCTTACACCTTACAGCAAACAGCTGTTGCCCTTAAAACCTCTCCTCAGCCCCCATCTTAGATTCTGCCTTCGCCGTTCACCCAGATTAAGTTCTGATTGGTCGGTTTCTATGCCAGTCAGCGTCAAATGCTCCACCTCCTAGGCAGCCATTGGCTCCTCGCAGTTCACCCAGATTTAATTCTGGTTGGTTTCTATGCCAGTCAGTGTCTCCAGGCCTATCTCTGGGCCTGATCAGAGAGCGGGGCTGATCAGCAGCCCCCGCGGCTGCTGGCAAGGCCTGGAGAGAAAGAGGGACAAGGGCTGATCGACAGCTGCCACTGAGGCTAAAGATCCGACCCTGCTTCTCTCTCCATGCCTCTCTGTAGGCCTGATCTGCAACCCCCTCAGCAGTCAGTGCTGGGTCACCATGGCGACCCAGCACTGACTGCAGGACTGACTTCCAGTGTTCGGTCAAGTCTTAAGTCATTTTGGATATTACAGACCCTGGCTCTTATATATATATATAGACTCTCAGTTTCTAAAACCTATAACTTTTATTAAAAAAAACTAGTGGCCTGGTGCACAAATTCATGCATGGGCGGAGTCTCTAGGCCTGGCTGGCTATCAGGGCTAATTGGGGCTGGTGGGGGGAGGGACTGTGGGAGGTTGGCCATTGGCCCCCCTGGGAAAGAGGCTGCATCTGCTGCCACCCACCCTTGGTTCCCTGTCCCAGCCCAGGCCCCAAAGGTCCTGGCGGTGTTGGGAGATGGTTGCTGGGCACAGAAGGAAAGGGCACTGCCATCGGCACCCCACCACCACGTGGTTCCCAGTTCCCTTCTCCTCCCAGCCCCCATGCTACCACCGTGACAGGTGGATGGCCCCCTGGGAAGGGAGAGGACAGGAGCAAGACAAACTCTTATGTTGAGGGCTGATTTTCAATAGATTGCAGCAACGGGACTGCTCTGCTCTGTATGACACTCTGACCCAGAAGCTGGTCGTCTATGAATGGTTCAGCACCAGGGGGCTGGCAGGCCGGGGGGAGGGACCACGGGTGGTTGGCTCTGGGAGCGCACTAACCAGCAGGGAGCAGCTCCTGCGTTGAGTGCCTGCCCCTGGTGATCAGTGCGTGTCATAGCAACTGGTTGACGGGCCGTTCCGGTCATTCGGTCATAAGGGTCACTTAGGCATATATATATATATATCCAGTACTTTTAAAGGAGTATTTATATTTAAAGTAATTGAGATACTTTAATTAGAAAACTAAACTCATTTCGGTTAGTTTGGATTTAAACTGCTCAAAATAAAAATGAAATACTTAGGTGTATATGTAACAAAATATGTTTAAGACTTTTATTCTGAAAACTACACAATGCTAATGAAAGAAATCAAACAAGTTTTAAGTAAATGGAAAAGCATACTGTGTTCATGGATTGGAACACTCAACATAGTAAATATGTTAATGCTCCCCAAATTGATATACAAGTTTTTTGCAGATAGAATAAAAACATAAGATTATTCTAAAATTTATATGGAAAAGCAAAGGAACTAAAATACCTAAAACAATTTTGAAAAAGGATAAAATGGGAAAAATCAATCAATCTGACTTTAAGACTTTTATAACTACAGTAATCAATAATGTATGGCATTGGTGGAGGAATAGACACACAGATCAATGGAACAGACAGAGAATCCAGAAATATGCTCAGCAAACATAACCATATGTGAGATGCCTCCGATGCTTTCTTCCTTTCTGAAACAGTATTCTACGTATATTATACTCTTGGTATTACCCTTGGAGGTCCTTCTGCTCTTGAATGGCTTCAGATTTTAACTTTTCATATTTTTCTGTTTGTCCAGTTAGTTATCTATAGTCTTTTTTAAAAAAAATCTAGATATAATATCAAAACAGTCCTCCTTTCTAAGTTACTGCTGTACTCTGAATGGTCAGATTTGATAGTAGTCTGACCTCTAGATAAATATAGAATGTGTATAACATAAGTTTCATACTCACCTGGAAGTTGTTCATTAGACCATAGGAACAAGAATTGCTTTCACAATAAGAAAAGTCAAAGTTTAATTTGCAGGCTGCGGAAGTACAGTTTGTTAGCTCTGTCACAATAGTATCGTTAATGTTCCCAGTGGCATCCCGAACAACACAAGCACCTGAAGCACAAGTGACAATGAGAACAAATAATATAGCTAATGTTTATGTTCATTTCAAATTATATATACCCATAAAGAAATGATACTGACTGCATATAAACTTGCTTATATTAGCACACATTGCATTTACAGTTAAGATAGCTTTATGTGGAACAGAATTGGGAAAGCATCATTATCCCCAATATCTTAATGAAATAGAACCTTACAAAGAGTAGTATCTACACATATACACTTAAGCTTGTGAAATATAGTTGTTTATAAATGGTATATTAGGAAAACTATTCCCTGGCCTATTTGGTTAATGTGTCCTTAAGCAAATATAAAAACATTGTGTTGAAAGAGTTCCACATGGCAGAAGCGTTTTCCTATACTTCAAGTACTTTATATTTGAAACCTATCAAAGATCAGACTTCAGGTAATTTCTTCTGTACAGGAAAACAATTTGAATATTAATAAATTATAATTCTATTTAAACCTTTGTCTCAAATAAGTCTAACCTGATATTAAGAAAATATATGTTATCTGTGGTTTGCTTAAAAATAACCTTTAAAGCAGAGTGAATGGCTATAGATGAAACAAGATTAACCATGTACTAATAATTCTTGAAAACTTTTTTGAGGCTGGGTAATAGTTATATTGGGCTCATTAGAAAATTTTCTCTACTTTTGTGCAGAATTGAAAATTCCCGTAATAAAAATTGTAAAAGTTTTCTTGAAGAAAGCAATTCATTATTTGAAATAACATATGATGTATAGTAAGTAATAATGGTTTCTTAGACCTCATATATTTTTACTTTTAAAGCATTTTAATACTAAGTGATCAGATATAAGGCATTATAGCAAAAACTGAACAATAAAGGGAAGAATATTTTAATGACTAAACAGACTACACACAGTTCTTTTCTCTTTCTTTCTTTTTTAAAGAGAGAGAGGATGGGAGAGGTAGAGAGAGAAACATATGTACCCTGACCAGGGACCAACCCAAAACCTGGGTAAGTGCCGTGACCAGGAATTGAACCTGTGACCTTTTGATACATGGGGCAATACTCAACCAAGCCACACCAGCAAGAGCTACACATGGTTCTTTATTCTTAAATTTCTTCATCTAACTTTCAGAGCAGTGTTTGAAAAACCATGTTTCCTTGAAGGTACTTCTGAAACCATAGGGATTGAGCCCTGTCTGTGCCTAAAGCAGTTATGCTTTTATGTGTTTTATGTGTTTCACATTCCAAAATATGTTTTGGAGAAAAAGGCTTCATTGCTTTGAACTAGTTACACAATCACTGGTGTAGAGGCAATCTTTACTGGTTCAGCCACTGAAGACCAGGGAGAAAGGGCTACTTCTATTGCTCCAAGGGCTAATGTAGGCCGAATAAAATGAGTATGTGGGCCAGTAGTGTTAGAGGGTCAGACACAAACAGAAAACACTTATCTGCTATAAGATACTAGTTCCTAATTAGAAATATAATCATTTATATCATTTGTGAAATTAAAACTAAATTTTCTTTAGCTTATGTATAGAATACATAAGAACACTAGGTAGAAACTTTTAAGGGAACAAAAATATTTTGGTAAGATTACATATGGCATATAGTTTATTTGTTTTTTAAAAATTAGATTTATCTATGATTTTAAGGCTAAATGGAAACTAATTTTTTTTTAAAATTTTAATTTAACCTGCTACAATACTAATTATTAGAATTTCCAACTCTCATTTACCGATATTTCAATTTTAATTTAACCTGCTACAATACTGATTATTAGAATTTCCAACTCTCATTTACCGATATTTCAATACTAGAGGCCCAGTGCACAAAAATTTGTGCACTCAGGGGTTCCTTCAGTCTGGCCTGTGCCCTCTCGCAGTCAGGGACCTCTCGGGGGGTGGGGGGGAGATCCCTCAGCCCGGCCTGTGCCCTCTCGCCGTCTGGGGCCCCTCAGGAGATACCGACCTG